GGCAAGAATGTCCAAGAGAAGTCTGGCATTATCCCGACAGCGCACGAGCTGAAACCCTGTCTTCAGTGATTTGGGAAATACTTCCATGGAAATATGCATCCTCTCGGCAAACAGTTACGAGTGCCCTTTGAGCCATGACAAGTGGTCGGGGCTATCACTTCTGCTTTCAGCAAACCCCAAGAGAAAATATGATCCCACAGATCAAGTACTGAGACCTGGCCTTAAATCTATTAATTCCTGGGGCCAGTGTTAGTGTAGGAGGTGGTCTGGGAGGTTAAAGACAGACTCCTCAGACCCACAAAGTTGGGTCAGTGGAGGCAGGAACATATCCACAACCTTTACCAAACAAACAGCTTTCACACCAGGCTGGGGGCATCACGGGCACTGAAAAAAGACTCACTAGACCAAGGTATTTGTTGTGCTTGGCTACGAAGAACAAGAATAATTTCAGAAGCATGTTAGGGTAGAGATTTTGTCACAGTAAGTCAAAAGTTGGCTTCGAGGTGAATCGGAAACAGTAAGTGAAACTGTCAGTCTCATTCCCAGAAGGACAGTCATGAGGTTGGGGGATGACATTTCAAGGGTAGTGTTTCTATTCATTTTCACGAGAAAGACAGGAGCGCAATTTTAAAGGGGGAAGGATATGACCCCTTTTATGTGCCCCATCATATTGTTAGCTTTTTGAATTCATTACTCATTCAATAATTTTCTTTTTATTGAGCACCAACTGTATGTGAGAAATAGCATCGATGCCAGGAATACTTAGGTGAACAAAACGGGTAAAGCCCCTCCGCTCAAGGAGATTGTGTTACCCGAACTTGATTCTTAAACAAACTCCTTAAATTTCTAGGAGAAAGGCTCCCTGAGCTCCTCAGAGTCCGGCCAGGGCCTGTGTGTGCTGTGCCTGTGAACGCGGCACGTGGCGATTTGGCCTGGTGTGTTAGGTGATCCGGCCCGGGGCCTCCTATACACCTGGCTCTTCCTGCAGGACAAGGACTGAGTCTCGTCTTTGCATCCTCAGCCTGGCAAAGTGTGGGCTGGGGAGAGGAAGACCAAACCTAGGAAATGCGTCAACTCCACCCAAGAGAATTTACATTTACTTGCTTGTTTGTCTTTAACCCCAGAAGGCTGCTCGTGGGTGAAGCCTGGTGCCCAAAGTCCCAGAGAAGCGTGGGTCTGGGCAGAGCTGAGAGAAGGACCCTGATCTCCTGATGACTCTGGTGCTTGATTACAAGCACACTGCCAACTGAACGTCTTCATTTTAAATACATGACTATTGCTAGAAGTCTTTTTGTGTCGTGCCTCTGAAAGATTAAAGAGATAATGGTAGGAATAAGAAGATACTTAGAAAACGGGCGCCTGGGTGGTTCAGCGTCCTGGGATCGAACCCCATGTCAGGCTCCCTGCTCAGCGGGGAGTGCTTTTGGCCCTCCTCCCTTTTGTGGTCTCTCAAGTAAATAAAAATCCCCATTTAAAAAAAAAAAGAGAAGATACTTAGAAGATAGATACTTCAGGAATTTTTCTCAATGAAATGTGATGAGCTATCACAGTTGACTGAAATCACAAAATCCTCCGGATCCACCCGGAAAGTAATCTTTCCTTCCTCCTTATCCTGACAACCACCGCAAGGAACAGCCAAGTCTTCACTTCTTGGAATCTGGGTTCAGACTGGGTGGGGCCTGAGGGCGAGCGGAGCAACGCTGAGCTCACACTGCCCCCTGCTGGCCGCTCTCCCCCTAACAAGGAGCACATACTTTCCGACTTCTTTTGCTCCCACTCCAGTAGAAAAAGAAAAACAACAGAATGCCCCCACAAAAGTCAAATGTCTTTATTTCATATAAAAAAAATTTGTACAGTTTTAGTTCCTATGTTTAAGAAAAAAATCCCTAAAACTGCCATTATGTTTAGATCCACTGCAAACTGTAAAAACAAGCTTTTTATATATTAAAAAAAAATTTACATTTTACAACTTTCTACATGCATGCACAAGGTCTCTGTAACCGCCCCCCCCCAAAAAAAAGAAGAAGAAAGAAAAGAAAAAGAAAGAAATTAAAAAGAAAAAGAAGAAAAAAATTCTAGATTCAACAGTGGCAAATTCTACATTTACAATCTCACTTGGAGGGGACCCAAAACAAGCCCCCTTCCTTTCGCGCACAGAAGAACAAATCACGACAATCACACACCAGGACCGAATCCATCAGCAGATGCTGCCCTGGGGGAAGGGCAGGGGAAAGAGAAGGAAGACAGACAGACGGACAGACAGCACGGAGGGGCGAGGGAGCTCCTCGGGCCCCACAGAGGAGAGAAGCAGACTCTGGGAAGGGGTGTTTCTGGTGAGAAGGTTCTGGGGGGTCCCAATGCCTCTTCACAGGTACCATGGCGGGGTTTGCAACAGGAATGCTGAGCAAGAAATGAAAGGCTCAGATGGTACAGGCATGGGGAGAGACGAAGGATCAGAAAGAAATAAGCGAGAGTCAACGGAGCGTGAGGGGTTGTGTAAGAGAAAGGGGACCAGTGGGGATGCGGCAGTGTGGCGAGGTAGGTGAAGGCCTGAGGTGCAGCATCCCCGGGGCGCTCCGAGGTGATGACAGGAAGGCCTGGTGGGGATGGCGGGGACGAGCTAGGATGCTGTGGAGTCACACAGAGACCCAGCCACACGTCCGGTGTCCTGGGGGAGTGGGGGGGGGCCACAGGTAGGTTAGGTGCGCCCCCACAAGAGAAGAGTAAGAGAACCCAGCGCGTGGCGGGACTGGCGGAGCAGGGGGGACCCGCGGCGCACCCCCCAGCAGTTCACAGCATGAAGACAACTCCCCGTGCCGAAGAAGCAAAGACACACACACCCAAACACTTGACAACTCATCCTGACATTTTACAAAATAATAATAATTATAATCATCATCAAAGAAAACAAAGATACCACAGTTCTGACGCAAAGGACCAAAACATTACCGTTCTCAGTCACAGCCCTTAGTGCTTAGAGAGTTGGGGGGAAAGTTTGCTTTTGTTTTAGGAAAAAGGAATGAAAAAATCACAGTGATTAAAAACATGGCAGGTTCTGAAAATAAAACACTCCCCCGCCCCTAACGTAGGGCCGCAACGAAGATCCCAAATACTTTCCATCTGCCCGCCCCAACCCGGTCCTTCTGTCACACCACACCCTGCTCCTGCCCACCATCCAAGCCCCATTTTCCAGGATAGTGAGGTATTTAGAAATGTGACCCAGGACTCCTCTGAAACCAGGTCCTTGAAGAGAAGAAAAGATACCTTCCCACAACCCCCAGGATAGGATGCATTTCCCTCAGGCACTGCCTAAGTCAGCCCCCCAACCCACACCTGTGGGGATCAGGCTCAGCACAAACTGAAGAGCCCTTCTCTAGAAGTGGTGGGTGGACAGATGTGCTTTTTCAGAGAGAACAAGGGGAGAAAGGCCATCACAAGGCTCCATTACACCCAGGCCATCCCTACACAGACAGGAAGCCTCCCTGGTCAAAGACCAGTGGGGATCCGAGCTCAGGGGGCGCTCTGCGTGGCAAGAACCAGGGAGTCCGCCAGAAGATGGGCCTGAGAGGGGGCTCAGCGAGTTACTCAGAGGCCTGGCCCCGGGGCACACTCCAGCCCAGCCGCGAATGGCCCTCCCCGTGGACGCCGGCTGGAGGTTCCAGTTCCCTCGGCTAAAACTACATAATTGAAACACGTCTGAGCGAAAGGCTCAGATGCACACTGAAAATACGTCTTAGAAGGCCAGTGAATTTTGCTCAAAACGAGACCTAAACTCTGGAGAATTCGGATTGGGTGTAGAGACTACAGAAGCCCAACAGGGTGAGGGACAGATAACCGTGAAGGCGGTAACCCTGGCCCCTCACCCCAGCACTGAAGGAGACGAGCGCCCCAAGAACCAGGCAGGGAGACAGGAGGGGACCCTGGCCAGCCAAGGAAAAGAGACCCCTGAGGCAAAGAAGTGGGCTTAAGGCAGGGGACGAGGGGACTACTGGCTCCCCCCAAAACAAGATGAGGCAACAGGTCCCTGGCGCTGAGAAAAAACACACGGGGGGGGGGGCGGAATGTTGGTGTCAGACCTCAGGGGTCGGGTCATGGTCTGCAAGCCTCTGGGCTGGTGTCTGTCTACTTGCCGTCCTTCAGCAGGAAGGGGAAACCTGCCCCAGCAAGGCGGGAACAAAAGTACAGGCAGGTTCGGAGGGCAGGGATCTGTGATGTTCCCCGGGATCTCTCCCATCCTTCCCTCAGAGGCTGCCCAGGGTGGACCCAGTGAGGGAAGGCACTGTCCCACATGGCCCAGGAAACATGGTCACAGAGAGCTTCTGCCTCAGTTTGCCTGTGGTCACAGACCATACAACTCAGAAACAGAAGGTAGAGACTTTGGAGTGAAGGGCAGGATCTTCCCTCGCTCTGAATGTGTGTGGATGTGCAGGGGAGGCTCTCACAGCTGAAGCCAGTGACCGTGGCGGGGAGACCCCGGACTCGGGCCGTGTGGGGGAGATGCAGGGGTATCCTGCCCCAAGAACTCAGCGTTTGTACCGGGCGGAGTGAACGGGCAGAAAGAGTGGATAACCCGCCATCTGGAGAAGTTTGGCACCGTGGCTCTCTGGAGTCATGTCTGTGCCCCGAGGACACCCTGTTGGGGCCACAGCTGGAAACTGCTATAAGAACCTGGTTCAAGGGTGGTGGGGGCTCAGGGGGTACCCACCCCCTCTCAGAAGAGACCGCCATCCATCTGGGAGGGAGAGGGGGAGAGGCACGGCTTCCTGCAGGATGACACCAAGTGAGGGCTGGGGATCGAGAGCGAGCTTCCCAGGCTCTGCTGACGCAGGTGGCCTCTTGAGGCTCATGTGGGGCAACTAAGGAGGAGGGGAGCAGACCGGTGGGGGAGTCAATTCAAGTAAAAGTAAACGGGGGCAGGAGGCCAAAGGGCGGCGGGAGACGAGAGCCGAGCCCTCCCCCGCCCGCAGGAGGCCCACACCCCCCCTGCCGCCGCTGCTCGGTCACACCGAGGTCTCAGACTGCAGCCTCATGACAAACTTGTGCGACTTGGGATCCACAAACTCCTCGGAGAGTTTGAAGAAGGGGACCTTCTTGGTGCTCACCACCAGGCTGAAGTCCTGGCGTTTTAAGAGGAAAACGATGCCGTCCTTGAGCCCGTTGGTCACCGGCTCCTCGCTCACCAGCGTCCACTGTTTGGCCAGCCAGCGTTCCTTGTGGTACTGGATGGTGGGTCCGGCCGCCAGGTACCGCTCCAGGAAGGCCTGAGGAGGGGCCAGGGGCTGCGTGGGCATCTCTCCCACCCACCTGCCACCCTCGTCCCCTGGGGGCACAGCTTCCAGAGACAACCAAGATGTGCCCCAGCTCACGCTCTGCTTCCACACCATCTAGAACATTAGAGCAGAAAGGGGCTGGGCTCCTGCTTCAGACCCTTGTTGTAAACATGGGGAAGCGGAGCCCACAGAGGAGGGGAGTGCCCCAGGGTCAGGACCTGCGCCCCAGCACTTTCCCTGCCGCAGGCTAGGACCGAGAGCCCTCCCTCATTCTTGCTTCCCCTGCATTCGGCTCTCACGGAGGCTGTCACCCTGCTCACCAAGGGTGGTTGGGGACGCAATTCTAGGAGGCTGACAATAAAGGTGAGGGGAGGCTAACAGCTCGAAATGAGCACAAAGAACACTCGGCGGCGGCGAAGGGGAACAGGGGGGGGACTCGGTGTGGGGAACAGCAGAGCCCTTGCAGATATGGGAGTCAGGTCTCAGCCATTCCCAGACCCACCTGCCCCTGCCCCTCACCGCCTGGGAACTTGACTCCAAGCAGAGGCGGGGGGTAGGGCAGGGATGGAAGAAGAGACCACAAAGCAGAGGGGGAGCAGAGGAGCGCAGAGCTGCAGGGCTGGGTACAGCGAGCCCCGTGGCAAGGAAGGCCGGGAGCAGGGAGAGGCAGGATGCTGGCAGCACAGCGGGCCTACCTTGGGCGTCATGTCGTGAGTGATGCAGAACTCGAGGTGCTGCAGGATGCTCTCCATGGTGTGGTAAGGCTGCTGCTTGGTGGTGCGAAGGTACTTCTGCATGGCACGGGCCATGGAGGCGAAGATGGCCTGGGCTGCCTCCCGGGGGTCCATCACCTCCCTCGGGTTCTTCTGCTCCTCTTCCTGCAGCCGCTTAATGTGAGTGAAGGCCTCCTCCACCGCCACCACAAGCCTGGGGGACAGGAGGGGCCTGGACCACACGCCCACCTCCCATCTTTCCCTCAGCTCTAGCCCTCCAGCAACCTGAGCGAGGTCAGGCCTTGGCACCCCCCCGCCAAAACACCACAAACCCACCTGGAGCCAAGGGTTGGGCTATGGGGGCTGTGTGCGTGTGGGGGTGCATATGCACGGTGCGACAGGGGTGGAGGGGGCAAGGCAGGAGACGGCTGTAGAGTTCCAGGAGCCGAGCTCAGGTACTCCAGTGTCAAAGCCAGAGACAGTTAGGGCCCGTGCTCTGGGAAAGAGCTGCACAGCCTCGCGTGCAGACGCCATCCTACCTGAGACCCCCAAATCACGCTTCGCTGGCTGACAAACTACCAGACAAGCACAGAGCACGGGCAACGTTAACAGCTGTCTGGGGTTTGCAAGGAACTAACTACAAACCAAGAAGAAAAAGGCAAGAACACTAGAGCAAAATGGCAGAGGTGAGCCAAACATTCACAAGAGACCTGGACGGCTGCAGACACCGTAAGCCCTCACCGGCTGGCCATCAAAAACGTTCGTGCAGCACTACTCATCAAGACAGGCAAAGAAGGAAGAGAACTGGAATCCAAATACTGCTGAGGGGGTGGGAGTCACCCATGAACCACCTCGCCGCAACAAGATGCCACACGCTGGATCAGAGGCAGCAGGCGTGAGTCTCAAAAACGGTGTTAAGGGGGAAGCAGGAAAAAGAAGTCAATTTACATTAAACGCATACAGACACACACACGGTGGCGTCTGGAGACCCAGGAACCTGGAGCCTGGGGTAACTGAGGGTGGGATTCTGGGCTAAGTAGATTGTGGCTCGTGTGCGGCTACGGTTCTCTGTTTATTCTTGTGCTTCCGTGTCTCGGTGCAGCTCCTTCTGATAAAACCCTTTTATCTTGGGTGAACCAATGGAAAAGCTTTCTCCTGGTGACAACCAAGGTAATAGGGGAAGGAAAAATCCACTACGGGCCAAGAATGGCGTTGGCAGCACAGGAGATCCAAAAACCCTGCTTGGGGTAGAAGATGAAGGGCATGTGTGGCATCGCTGTGCTCCTTCCCACCTGGGCCACTTCTGAGACAACTGGAGACATGCTGGAATGTCAAAGAAATGGATTGCTGGGGGCGCCTGGGTGGCCAGTCAGTGAAGCGTCTGCCTTCGGCTCAGGTCATGATCCCAGAGTCCTGGGATCGAGTCCCGCCTCAGGCTCCCTGCTCAGCGGGGAGCCTGGTTCTCCCTGTCCCTCTGCCCCTCTGTGCTCATGCTCTCTCTCAAATAAATAAAATCTTAAAACAAAAAATGACATGGCTGGGACACCAGCCTCATGTCAGGACAGGGGAAGGGATAACTTCCTCCCTTAAAGCCTAGAGACCATGTGAGGAGGGGCAGAGGGCAAGGCGGATGGTCAAATGCCGGGGCCCTCTTCTGTTGGAAGCCCCATGGAAATCCCAACACACCACGGTGCGCACGAAGAAAGACTCTTCAAGCATGACTTAGGCGTATATAATAATGTGAACAGGAAAAGGGGAGGAGCGAGAACAGTATTTAAGAATGTACCAAGATATGAGTGCCAGAACCTCATTTTTTGCAGGTAAAAGGTACCATCAGCTGAGCAGGCCTCCAAGAGCTACTGGTAGGAGGCCCAGTCCAGCCTCAGTCCCCACTGCTGCAGGCAAGGCTCACATGGTCTGCCGGGTCCCTGCTCCATGGTGGGAGGCAGAATTCCAAGATGCCCCGTTCACCTCCAGCAGGTTCCCGGCTCCTGGCTAGTCAGTTCACTCCGTACGTTTTGCACATATAATTCAAATGCCGAGTCAGTTGACTTGGACATTATAAAACAAGGAGATGACTCTAACCAGCCTGATCTTACCACGTGAGCTCTTTAAATGCAGAGTTTTCTCCAGAGAGAAAGAACAGAAAAAACAGGTCAGAGGAAAATTCAAACTACCATATCCTGACTGCCCATGAGGCCAGGTGACAAGGAACTGATTCCAATGACCACTGAGCTTGGAAGAGGACCCGGGCTCAGGGGGGTGTGGTCTTGTTTTTGGCCTTGACACCGACTGAGGGCCTGACCCGCGGGACTGTGAGCTGAGAAGCGTGCACTGGTTTCCGAACTCAGCTTATGGAATTTGTCCTGGCAGCCACAGGACACGGATGCTCACAGAGCACCCCATCCTGACAGGCGCACAGGCCCGCTGGTCTTCCTCTCCAGGCCGGCCTCACCCAGCAGGGCCCCCAGGCTTCCTGGCCCGGCCTCACCCAGCAGGGCCCCCAGGCTCCCCCGGGCCGGCCTCACCCAGCAGGGCCCCCAGGCTCCCCCGGTCCGTCTACACCCAGCGGGGCCCCCAGGCTCCCCCGGCCCGCCTACACCCAGCGGGGCCCGCAGACTCCCCCGGCCCGCCTACACCCAGCGGGACCCGCAGGCTCCCCCGGCCCGTCTACACCCAGCGGGACCCGCAGGCTCCCCAGGCCCGTCTACACCCAGCGGGACCCGCAGGCTCCCCCGGCCCGTCTACACCCAGCAGGGCCCGCAGGCTCCCCTGGCCCGTCTACACCCAGCGGGGACCCACCTGGCCCTGCGCTTGCGCACCCTCCGCTCGTGCTCCGCCTCCTCGTAGTAGTACTCGTTGTGGCTGTTGTCCCGCCGCCGAGCCGCTGCGGCGATCACAGCCCGGGACTGGCCCGTGGAGTTGTTGGTGCTGTTTTCTGCGCAGGAGCAGGAGAGACAGGCACGGTCACTTCAGGGCATGCTCGCTTCCCATCCCAGGAAGTCTGGAGACAGCAACCTGACGCGTCCGGAGGAAGCCGTGCCCACCCCCTGGTGGTACCGCCGCTCCCAACCCTCCCGGCCACAGCTGGGAGAGGCCCCCAGGTCGGCCGCCGGGAGTGCCCCGGAGGGCGGGAGTCCTGCTGCACATGCTCCTCCTGGTGCAGGAGGACCTGGAGCTCAGAGAGCTGAGGGCTTAGGACCAGGGCTGGTGAGCAGACGCAGAGACGTCAGAACGGGGGGCGGGGGGACACGCCACAGCGTAAAGGGACAGCAAGGAGAATCAGCAGCTTACACCAGCCACCTGGAGTCCAGGGAAATGACAGAAAAAACAGGGCTGGGGAAAGCAAGGGAAGAGGCTGAGAGAGAAAGAGCGAGCAGGTACAGAGCCCTGCTCGGGGACGGACGGGAGGGCAGGGGAGCAGGGCCGCTCACCCTCTCCGAGGGAATACACCTTGAAGCCAGACACTTTCTTGGCCAGGACGGACTTGGGCAGGTTGAGGAGGGCAGGGTTGTAGACAGGGAAGTCATGGTAATACTTCTCCAGGATCCACACTGCCACGCGCTGGATGCTGTGGGGGAGATGGCAGGAAGGAGAGGGAGAAGAGACAGACAAGGGGTGCCGGGGGGAGGGAGACATCAGGGCAGGTCGGCAGGGCCAGAAAGGGCAAGGACAGGGACGGGCTGCTTCCAAGAAGCCTGGCTCAGGGCCTGAGGTCGACTTACCAGGCTCCCAAGCCTTCCCCAGGGCTGGGCCTGCTAGTCCTTCCCTGCTGTGCTGAAGCCCAGGGGAGAAAGGGCATTGGGCCTGGGTCCCCCAAAAGGGTCACCTCACCCCCTCCAAGAGTCCCCCAAGATTACCTCCAGGACCAGGAGGTGCTCCTGATACTCTGTATGGCCTGGGCGGGGGGGTGCAGAGGAACTCCCCCTTATCTTTTCCTCTGGGGGTTCCTCCTCCGGCCAGCTCATCTCAGTGACCGCTCACTTGAGGGCTCACCAAGGCTGTGCCTCCAAGGAGGCCAGAAAAGTGATTCCCAAAAGCCCCCGTTCGTGCCCCTTTGGTCCAGCCCTCTTTAAGGTCCCCACTGGTTCACTATTCTCTCCCCACTGCTAACTCCCAGTCCAACCTGCCCCGGGACCCTGCGCTGTTGAAAACCTACTGTGTGCAAGTACTGCCCTGCGGCCTACGGCCCTCCAGCTCCTCCCCGCCCGCCCCACGGCTCTCTCACAGCCCTGCAGGCCCCTCCTCCCAGGCCCACGCCCACACCTGAGATGGCCCACGTTGTAGAAGCGGCTGGCGCCGTCAGTGGAGCGCACGACCTTGAGCGTGAACTGCGGCTGCAGCTGGCGCAGCTCCAGCAGGACCACGGCCAGGTAGTGCACGAAGAGCAGGGCGTCCACCAGCGACACGGCGAACTGCACCACGCCCTGGTAGCTGCGCTCGCGGGCGTCCAGGATGCGCACGCCGTAGAAGAGCCAGTAGGACACCACGAGCAGGAAGACAAGCACCATGAGCAGCGCGCGCAGCACGAACACGCGGGGCAGCGAGGCCTTGGGGCGGCGGAAGAACAGCGCCCAGCTGCCCAGCAGCAGGATGAGCAGCTTGAAGGCCACGGAGATGAAGAGGCCCTCGCAGGCCGTCCCGCAGGGCTCCAGCTCCTCGCGCCACAGCAGCGGGGGCAGCAGCAGGAAAGCCAGTGGCGTGAGGAAGGAGAGCAGCGCCAGCGTGGCCCCGGCGGCCACGCCCAGGTGACGGGAGCAGTCCAGCGGAACACTGTCCTCCATGTCCTTGGCGATGCGCGTGAGGTCATCGTGGGAGATGCTGTGCTCGGAGGTGCCCGTTACTACTGTGGTAGTCTCCCCCCAGTTGTCATCCTACAGCAGGAGGGGCCGAAGCCCGAAGGGGGGAGAGGGGGAGGGGGAAAGGGGGAGGGGAGGGGGGAAGGGAAGGGAGTGGAAGGGTTGAGAAGAAAGGAAGGGGAGGAGGGGGAGGGGAAACGGGGGGCAGACGCAGGGCAAGAAAGAGAAGAGAGGGCCATCAGCCCATATGCAACCACCAAAATATTTACTGAGCTCCGCTCTGTGTTCAAACTTGGTCTCTGCAGGGCTGGCGCCTCTGAGACCTGGACCCTCAGGGCACACAGTAGCAAGCTCGGGAAAGAACATCAATGCCCAGATCCCACCCAACTGGACAACCACCTTTTTTTAAAAAACCAGATGAGGGGCGCCTGGGTGGCTCAGTCATTGGGCATCTGCCTTCCGCTCGGATCACGATCCCAGGGTCCTGGGATCGAGTCCCACATCGGGCTCCCTGCTTGGCAGGAAGCCTGCTTCTCCCTCTCCCACCCCCCTGCTTGTGTTCCCTCTTTGGCTGTCTCTGCCAAATAAATAAAATCTTTAAAAAAATAAATAAAAATAAACCAGACGATTTGGGGGCGCCTGGGTGCCTCAGTCAGTTAAGCATCTGACTTCAGCTCAGGTCATGATCCCAGGGTCCTGGAATCCAGCCCTCCCCACAGTGGAGAGTCGGCTTCTCCCTCTCCCTCTACCCATCCCCCTGCTCATGTGCGCGCGCGCTCTCTAATAAATAAAATCTTTAAAAAAATAATAAATAAAAACCAGACGATTTTATTGTTCATCCAAAATTGAGAATCACCGAATTCACTTAACAATCCCTAAGGCCTGTTTACTCATAATGTGATCTGTGGACCAGCAGTGTGGATGGACATCTCCTGGGAGCCTGCTGGAAATGCAGCTTCTCAGGCCCCACCCCACACCGACGCACCAGAATCTGCATGTTAACAAGACCCCCATGAATCACTCAGACGTTCAGAGGCTGGCAGGGTGCGCTGAGGCACCCAGAGGAGGAGCAGGGTGCGCGTGCCAGGAGCAGAGCCAGGCATGGCCAGCTGGAGCCTGAGCAGGCTACCTGCAAAGTAGGCTAAGCCAGAAGCACCTGTTTTCCAGACCTCAAGCCACTCAAGGTTTCTGAGTAAGGGAGTGACCTGAAAAAAAGCAGTGTGGCAAAGGGAAGAGGCCCCCGGAGGGCAAAGAGGGAGAAGGCAAGTGATCAGTGTAGGGCATGGGAGATGGACACACTTAGGGCCACCCTGGGTCTCTGGTCTGCCCGCAGCACAGAGCCTGCCTGTCCCTGGAGGCAAGGGTAGACAGGCTGAGGTCCCCAGTGTCCTTCTGAGTATGCTTCACTCGAGCAATTTCTGCAGAGGCCAGACACCATCCCACAGAGGAGCCCCAAGAGCACCAGTAGCCATCAGTGCCTATACCCTTCATGGGGATACAGAGTCTCAGGACTAAGGCACCGACTGGGGAGTGTAGGAGATGCCTGGCAGGGTCAGTGATCAGGGACTTCCCAAGGACGGGAGAAGAGTCTGATCTGATGAAAGAAAGTGGGCGCACTGACCACTTTCAGCTCGAGGAATTACATCAACTCCACACTCTAGGCTGACCACCCCCCCCGACACGCTGCCTACCCTCTCCAAGCATCAAGGGTTTGTGGCCTCCTCCCCCACAGCAGGTGAGCTGACCATGTCTCGGGGTCCCTTCAAGAACTCAGGAGGGCAGGTCTCAGGGAGAGGACAGGACTGGGAAAGAGAAGGAAGAATATTTCCCTCAGGTACTCATCTGCTCCCAAGACCCAGAAGTCCCAGTGTCAGTCACAGAGATTTCTTGTGAGGGAAAAGGAGCTGGGAGTCTCCAGCCCGAGATGCCCCCAAGAAGGAAGAGCGGGAGGCACGAGGCTCAGGCGACCTCAGTCACCTCCAATCCTGCCTCTGCCCTCATCCAGCACTGCGTTCTGCTTACTGACCTCCCTGCTGGTGAGCACAGTGGGCCAGAGGTTGGAGCAGGAGCAACCTGCTCACCGCCGCCCCCCTCCAGTGACAGGGTCCTTCGGGGCGCCCCCTGCTCCCCCTCCTTTCTCCACAGACTCCGCCCACACCTGCTTCCCTCCAGAGCCCGGCGATGCGATTCTGCAGGCCGACACCAGAGGGCGCGGCAGTGCCCACGCCTGGGGCTCAAGGAAAACTCAGCGCTGCCCTCCCTCCCAGACCCCACCCACCGCGCCCTCCTGCCCCAGTTCCCGGCCCACCGGACTGGCCAGGCAACGCCCATGACACAACCCAAGCCACTTTACCTCTCTGGCATAAGGAGGAAGAGGCTGCGGCTTCCAAAGGGATCTCTACTGAAATTCCCTGAATTCTACTGAAGCAGGGTCCTACCTTGGGACACCAAGCAGAAGGAAGTGTGACACAAGATGCCCTCCCTTGATAGGGCCTCTGTCCGAAGAGACCGGGACTCCAGGCCCCTCCCCGTCGGATGGACCCCCCGCTTCACGGAGCAGCTTGACATCACCTGGCCCGGACCCCGAGCCCGCAGATGCTCACCCGCTCATCCCCCCGCGTGGACTCGTTGTCCAGCAGGGGCTCCCCTGGAGCCTGGATCGTCACCGACTTGTCCCCGCGGCTCCCATCTCGGCTCTTAGAGCGGTGCCGGTCCCGGCGGTCCCTGCGGCAGGAGGCCAGGGGAACGGGCACAGGAGGTCAAAGGGGGGACCTGGGTCTTCTCAGCAGCCCCTGTGCGCGCCCACCTCTCAAGCACCCCCAACACACCCGCCAGCACCCACATCACACCCATGCCTGCCCACCTGTGCTTGCGGGAGCTGCGGGAGTGGCCCGACTTGTAGGAATAGCCCGAGTACTGGGACTCAGTGTCCATGGCGTCTGAACGCCGCACCTTATAGCGCTCCAGGGCCACAGGCTGGGGCCTTTTGGGGGGCCCCACAGCCACCTCCTTCAGCACCGGCTTCTTCAGGCCAAGAGGCACCTTCAGGAAGTCAACCGTCACCCTGAGGGACTCTATTTTGCTGGACGAGTGGGCTTGTCTCAGAGAAAATCAAGCGGCGCTCCTGAGAAAAGGAAGCAGCTGATTAGAAGTAGCTGGAGCTCCCTGTGAGGTCAGGGCAGAGAGGAGGACAGTGCCCAAAGGGTAGCTGCAGGAAGCCTAGCCACAACCTCAGAATATTCCATCCAGGTTCCCACTCTGCCCAGCGGGCCCAGTTGCTCCGGTCCTGCCTCCTAGAAGGAGCACCCCTCAGCTGTGCCAACGGGGTGCGGGGAAGAGCCAGCAAAGGCCACTAGGAACGACCCGACCCTGGACACCCCGGAGCTGAGAACCAGGGCGATGCTTTCCTTATTCTCAGCCAGGAAAACCATGGCTCAGAGAGGGCAGGTTCTGGCCAGGCTGACAGGCTGGACCAACGGAGACCTCAGGCAGCAGAAACCCGCTAGCTTCTATAGAGGCCTCTCCTTCCCCCGACTCACAACTTCTGAGGATGCCCACAGAAGGAGGGCTCTTGTCACCATCTTGCCAACACCTCCATCAAACAGACCTGTAGCCACGGGCCAGGTCAGCCTGGCTGCTCCCCTTGAGGCTCGGGCTGTGTGTGTGTGTGTGCGCGCGCGCGCGTGTGTGCACGTGCGCATAAACCAGGGCACAAGGTCAGGAATGGTAACCATGGATAATGTTGGGGTGAGTGGGGAGAAGGCAGCAGAAACCATTCAAAAGCCTAAAGCCCTGAAATGGCAAGGTCGAGAGTCTTCTTGGCTGAGTGTGCTCGGGGCAGCATCTTTATTCTACATGTTCACCTTTGAGCTCTGCAGAGAAGAATTAGCTCTCCTCCTCCCCGCTTCCCCAACCCTCACCCGCATCCTGCTGGGCCCCCAGAGCCCAGCCCTCCACGACTAGCAGCCACCGCGCATCCTCCCCTCTGCCCCACCTCTGTCACGCACGCACGACTCCGCCATGCACACATGTATTTCCCAGCCTCACTCACCGGCCCATCGACTCACTCTCAGGCACCTCTGTGCACCACGCTCCCTGTGAGGCCCTGGGGGTATGGCGGGGACCTGACCCTGCATTCCCAGGCTGGTGGGGCAGATGCACACGAACGAGGACACTGGAGTATGAATAACTAACTGCAGGAGTGATGACAGGCAAACAAGGAGAGACGGCTCTGGGGACCGCGACCAGAAACTCAGTGCTTCTGGAAAGTCTCTTGGAGAAAATGACACCTGAGCCTGAAGGAAGAGCAGCAATGAACCAGGAAGAGTGGAGGAGAAAGGCAGGGAGGCGCGCTCAGGAAGACCAAGGGCAGCGGAGCTCAGTGTATTTCAAGAACCAGCATCGGCCCGTGGGGCTGGAGCTGAGGAAGAGGAGGGTGGACAGGTAGCCAGGGGCCAAGCTATGGCAAGATCCCTGGGCCAGGTGAGGAGCTCGCGTTTTAGTCCAAGCCCCAGGGGAAGCCTGTGAAGGATTTTAGCTGTGCAGGCAGGGGCTCGGGGGAGGGGGGGGAGGGGAGCGCAGCCGTGGGAACGTGGGAACACAAGGAAGGAGGCTGCTCCAGGCGTGCAGGCCTGGAGGAGGTGACAACAGCCGTAGGGTCAGCAGGGCCCACCGAGGTCTGGCTGAGGGGAGGGGAGTGCCCAGGATCTCTGGCCCGAGCAAGAGAGTAGATGGTAGTGACATCATGGGGTGGGGGGGGGGTCAAATCTCGGGAGGAAGGCAGTGCTCTCCATTTCCAGCGGGCTAAGTTCCAGGCCATGGGACAGGCGGTCAGGGAGGCAGGGGGTTTCTGAGGAGCCAGACTCAGGAGAGTCTGCGCTGGAGGTGCTGCCGGGGTGTAAGGTGGGAGTGGGTGGGATCCCCTTGGAAGAGGAATGAGTTAAGGGGTTTCTGGGGATCCCGGTGTGTAGGAGCAGGCAAAGGGGCCCAAGGAGGTGAGGCCAGAGGACGGGGGGGAGGCCAGAAGAGTGGGCTCCCGCGGCAGCCGAGAACCGCAGAGCGTTTGGAGGCGGGAATAAAACCGACCAGGTTGCATGCTGCCAAAAAGTCAATGATGTTCAGAACTGAACGGGTTTCAGTGTAGTTGTTAACTCTTCTCCCACTAAAATAAGCGGTCAGCAACTAGAGAACAGGAAGCATGACTGAGACATATTTGTGTCCACTATCCTCCCGGAGGAAGGGGCAAGAAACTGACACTGACCTGGGGAATGCCCTCGCCCTCTGACTGTCGGGGAACCCGCCACGGCCGCAGGGAAATGAAATCCATCCCTCCGTTCCTTGATGCCCCTACCAGCTATCTGGAAGCACCCCCGTGGCCTCTCGATGGTTGTCAATAGCCCCACGTCAAGGCAGGCGTGTGACAGACACACGCTTAGGGGACACAGACATGAAGCCTCAACCCAAGCCGAACCCTTTCTAAATACTGTTGCAGTGCGCAGGGCCTTATGCAGCACCCCGTCCACAAATTACACGTCAGGCTCCTCCACCCCGGCTCCTGAGAACCCTTTCTACTGCCTAAGATCTCAGTACAGTTCCCACACCTTGTCTGCATCTGTCTGGCCTGTTGCAGCCTATTCTCGTCCCCAGACCTGAATCCCACCAGGAGGTTCAAGAGAACCAGCGGGCTCCAGAGAGGGGGTGGAGAAGTAAGGGGGAACAGACCTGCCCTCGCCCAGGTCTAGATAGAGGCAGGATCCAGGACTCCCCACCATCTCAGCCTCACCCTTAACACTCACATCTCCAGAGCCAACAGCACAGAGAGCCTGGGATTTGCATCCAACTCTCTGCATTCGAAACCTGACTCTCCCACCCACCAGCTACGTGACCACAGGCAAGTTATTTAAGTTCTCTGCACTTTGTAGCCTGGTAGGCTCATCGGGAAAATCGGAAAATGATGATACATACTTGATGGGTGTGAGAGAAATGCTTCTATACGCCGCTCAGCTAGTAATTAGTTAAGGAATTAATATGCTCTGGCTCAGGGTCGCCCATACTCCGATCCCCAGACACTTCCTCTGAGACTTTGGAAAGAGGTGGTATAAATAAAGCCTACTGTTTGTACTACTAAATAAAGAAGTCACACTCACACACACACACACACACACACACACAGCCTTGACCAGAACCACTTCAAATACACCCAGGAGGGAAGCCGGTACCATTGTGTTTCCCCTACAGATAAATTTCAAACCAGACAAGAGTGCCAGCCCCTCCCAACCCTTTGTTCCGAGCGAGCGACTGGGCCTGCAGCCCCTACCTTCCTCCCAGCCACGTATTAAAGACCCAGCATACACCCTGCTCTCCTGGCCCACTTCACCAACCCCCCCCCACAACCCAACTCAAGGTGCCCCAAAAAGCATCCAAATGTGCTTCTCCTTCCCCTACCAAACAGAGGGACCAGAATGAGCACCCAGTTTCTCAGACCCTTGCCTGCTGTCCCCTCAAGTACCTGGGGAACTAACCAGAATCTGGAGAGGCTGGGGGAGGGACGTGAGTGCAGACAAGGGGAGAAGTTGCCCTTGTTTCATCAGCTCAGGAATCAGGGGTCTGGAGGGTCTCCTGGGTGGGCGGGTTCCCAAGGAAGAGGGTGGGGGAGGGGAACACTGGATGAGACCAACAAGTGGAAATGTCAGAGGTGGACGCCAGGGCAGCAGGACCCGGTGTGGGCCGGGGGGGGGGCCTGGTTTGCGGGTGGGAGGCTGGGAAAGGTAATGTGTCCCATTGCGTTCACCTTGCCCCCACCTCCAAGACACACAAACACACTCACTCAGTCCCCTGCTCAAACCAACCATGGATTATCTGGGGTTAAAAGGAGGCCAGAGAGGAGAGAGAGAAGGAAGGGAGCCTGTCACAAAAACAAGACCCTTCTCTCCCCAAAGGCCTTTCAGAAATAAAATTAATGGAATGTGTCTCAGTACCATCCCAAGGGGACTGGGGGGGAGGGGTGGGGGGGAATGTGGGGGCTTTTGTCCCGGCTGCCCAGCTTCTCCCACATTGATCACCATGGCAACCAAAGCCCCCTGTTGCCTAGGTGATGGCAGCCGGGTCCTGGAACCCATACCCAGCATCCAAAGCGAGGGAGGTTGTGAAGGTGGGGGGGGCGGTTAGGGACAGAGGGGGAGAGAATGGGGTTTCTCCTCCGGCAGCCCCAGCTTTTGTCTGAGCCCTGGGATCAGGTTTCTTCAGGAAACAATCAGAGGCCTCTGGAAAAAATACACTCAGAACCTGGCAACAGGCAGAGGGAACAAGGCCTTGGGGGGGTGGGGTGGGGTTACAGAGGGGAAGGCTGGTGTTGGCCAAAATGCAGACTGAGACTGGACCCTTCCCTGTGGCCCCCCCCCCGGAGGCGCGGCTCAGGTGGACAAGGCGTTGGACACAGACACGGGCGCCCCAATGTGGGGCAGGTGTTGGGGACCGAAGGCCAGCCAGCAGGTGGCTAGGATCACAACCTCCTTCGCCTGCTCTCTGGACCGGGGCCACCCCACCACCCAGTCCCAGCTCCTTCAGGCCCGGGATGGGGACAGGAGGCAGGGCAGAGGTGAGGGTGGGGCTGGGGGAGTGACTCAGCCAGGAAAGCAAAGGTGCGGAGGGGACCCGACACAAACATGTACCTAGAAAGGGCACCTGTTATTCCTCATCTCTATGGAAGACGGGGCTGGGGGCAGCAGACCAGCTGCGCTGCGGAAGGCACTTGGGTTGGATCTTCCGGCTGCGGGGAGAGGACAAGACACCAATAGCTTTCCTGACTCTGACGGGGCAGAGCTCTTGATAGGCCCACTCTTGAAACAAATGGCCCCCTCTTTTCTCAGTCCGAGATGGGGAAGGCTGGTGCTGCCGGACACAAGGGAAGGGGCACGGTCCCCTCCGCGGACCCC